CCACGCCAGGACAGAGCCCGGCCCAGGGGCTGTGCCCCGGAGGAGGACCCCACCCGCCGAGCCGCGGAGCCTCGCCCCGCTGCGCGGGCGCATTAAATTATTGATATCTATGTATTTATTTTAATGACTATTTTTGGACAAATCACGCTTTAATATTTTGTTTTTACGTCAGTGTGTCCCAATAAACTTCGACCGGTCCCTTTTCTACCTGCTGTGTGGCGTTCCTGCGGGAGGGTGTGGGTTGTAGGGTCAGCAGGGGCCAGCGTGGCCAGCGGGGGCGGCGGGACCACTCCCTTCTGCCCAGCAGCCGGGCGGAGGCCAGGAAGGGCTCCACCCTGGCTGACTTCCGATCCAGGGTGTGGGTGTGACCTGGGGTGGTGTGAGCTGGGGTGACGCCTCACTGGGGCTCTGCCAACTGCCCCACTGGGGTCCAGCAGTGACCCATGTGGGCTGCCCCTCCCACAGCCTCCCGGAAGGGGCCCTCGCGCCTCTGCCTGCCCGCCCCTCGTTTTAAGATTTATCTATGAACACAAGACCTGGGGTGCAGGTCAGAGGTGGGGGGGCGCGGGTGAGAGGACTCACCAGACAGAGTGGGGCGCAGAACAGGCGGATCCCCTGAAACCTGCCGCTGAGCGGGCAGCCGGGAGACAGGAGGGGCCTGTGCCCCGCGGGTCCCTCCCAGGCCGGGGGTCAGAGCTGCACTTCGACCCCTGCGCCACCAGGGAGGGCCGTGCCTGCCCCCCTGGACCCACCCCTGGCTGCCCACGGCAGCCGTGTGTCCTGCTGCCAGGCAGGGCGAGGAGTCCGTGCGTCCAGGGCGGGCTGGCGCTGTGGTGCCGACTCCGTCATCTGGATAAATGACCAAGGACGGGGGGAGGCCGAATCTGGCCGGATCCGGCCTGAGCTCTGGGCCCGGGCTGCCCGGGGTCCCCCCACCCCCGGTTGGGACCCTGGATCTGGGCTTGGAGCTGCTGGGCTCTGAAAGTCCCTTGGAATCATGGTGGCCTGGGGTGAGGGACTCGGGCATCTGAGACTGACCGGTCAGGACGCACGCCGGCGCCTCTGGCGTCCCTGGCGCCCCTGGGGCTCAGTGCTCCCCGCTCTCAGGCCCCACTGCCTAGGCCCCCCCCGGGGCTCCCCACACAGAGTGAGGGGCTCTTTTCCGAGACCTCGAGTTCTTGTGTTTTGAACCGTGCCGGTCAGGACCGCCAGGAAAGGGGCGTGAGCGTGGAGGGGCTTGCGCCCAGCCAGGCTGCGGTCAGCGGGGGGCAGAGGCGGGCGCCCCTCCGCTGGTCCGTTGGTGGGTGGCCGGCGCACAGCCCGCGCCCACAGGGCCAAGGCGGGCGGTTCCGCCCTCCCCGGAGCGCCCCCAGGAAGACGTCCAGCCTCGGACGCGCCATCCTCACCCGGGCCCCCCACCCCGCGAGACCCCCCACAGGAGCTCTGAGGCATCAGGCAGGAGAGGCTCCAGGGAGTTTATTGCCAGTCTGTGCCCCGAGGCGGCCATCACTGGACTTTGTCCATCTTCTGGAACACAGGCTGCCTCCAGAGGGCCAGGAGCACCAGGAAGTTGACGGCAAACTGCACGTGGCCGAAGACGGAGACGCCAAAGCTCCGGTACAGGAGGCCGCCCAGGGTGGGCCCCAGGGTGCGGGTCAGCGGCTGCACCGTGGCGCAGAGGCCCAGCATGGTCCCTGTGGGGCGGCAGGCGGCAGCGTCCTGGGCTCCCTCCCCGGCCGCCCCTGTCTCCCACTGCCCCAGCTCTGCCCATGCGTCCGCTCCCTGCTGACCAGCCGGCGGGCAGGCAGG